TATTTCTTATGTCTAAGTACTATGCTGTAGAGAACTGAAACATGGGACAGTCCCTGTCCTGGAGGAATTAAGTAAGGTGGGGAAAGGGACAAGATAAGACAAGTCCATAAACGTAAAATACAATATAATAAATGAAAATAAGGCTCAAAAAATGGTAAAGTCTTATATTAAGAGACGCTTTGCTATCTAATGAGGAGGGAGAAGGACAGAGAAAGAAAAGACACCACTATTGAAAGACCCACAGTAATAGGAAAATCAAGATCTTATACATGCCTTTTAAAAAGATAACACTTTTGATCAATTTGAATGAGTGAAGAACACAGAGAAAAGCATGGGCTTATTATGGGAACAGCAAGTAGTCAACAATAACTTCAGAGTGGCATATTCAATATTTAGAGTGTTAGTCATTTATCCCACTTGTTTGTGTGCCCTTGGGTGGTCCTGTGCTAGACGGGGGATGTGTAGACAAATGAAATATGGTCCAGGAGACGTTTTATTTTGGAGAGCGGGGGCAGGTATATTTGGAGCTTGGAAATTTTTTCTAATAAGAGAAAGACCAAGATTGAATCCAAGAGAAAGGATATCAGGTTTTTTCTCCTAAATAGAGCAATAAATTACCCATATCTTTTCCTCACTAACTGCCCAATCAAATCTCTATTTTTGTTTATGTAATAAGTCTCAGCTACCACTTTTAATTCATATCCACACGTGAATACCTCTCACTGGGTCTGGGGACGTATCTGTGCTGAGCTCCAGAGAGCTGAACTCCAATGCTTCTTCTATCCAGTCTTGGACTCACTCTGATTGAGATTTAACTTCATCGCAGCTTCAAAACAGCCTTTATCAAGGTCACCTGTTAGAGCCACTTTGTTAAATGCAAAGGTCAGTGTTCAGTCCTTACCTTCCTTGGCCTGCCAGCAGCATTTGATGCCACTGAGCATTGTCTCCATTTTGTCCTCTGGGCTCCTGACCACTCTCGCTTCTCTGCCTACACACTGGAACCTCCTTCTCAGTCTTCTTTGCTGGTTCTTCCTTATCTCCCTGATTGCTAAAAGTTGGAGTCTCTCAGGCTACACTTAATATTTTACCTCTCTCTGCCTGGGTTTGAATCCTAGTTCTACCACTTGCTAGCTGTTTGATCAGAAGACATTAACTTCATTTCTCCAAGATTCAACCTCCTTACCTATAAATTGATGATAATAGAAGTAGCTACCTCTTTTAGAGGTTGTGAAGACCAAATGAATCTATTTATGTAAAGCGCTTAAAACACGCCAGGCACTGTATACATTAATTCTTTGTACTTGTTCTTATCATGTTCGTTATCACTCGCTACCTATGTGATTGCATCTGGTCTCGGGTGCTTTAAATTCTGTTTATACACTGTCAACTCTGAATTTGTCTCTAGCCTAAACCTCGGTCATAACTCCAGAATCATATATTCAACTATTAGACTCAACACCTCCATTTGATTTTCTAATGATTATTACAAATTGAACATGCCATAACTTTTTATGTTTATCTAGGTTTCTTCATTTCAATATATGGTGACCTCACTATTCCAGTTGGTGAGGCTTTCTTTCTACTGTAGATGCAATCCAGTGGGAAATCCTCTCATTTCTACCTTCGTATCCAGAATCTAACCACTTCTTACCCACTCCACTGCTACCATGCTAATAGGCTCTTTTGCACTGATATCTTCTCAATAGTGCAGCCACCATGCTCCTGAATGCATATATTTTAGCTGTATGACTTTGAACAAGCAACTTAACCTTGCTAAGCTTCACTTTGGCCATCTGTCTGTGAAACAGGAAAGTAGCAATATCCTCAGATTACTGTGAAGATGGAGAATGCTTGCAAAGCATATTATAGATTACTGGCAGCTTTTTGAAAATGAATAAGTGGTGGCTATTAAAAATTCAAACTATTTTTTTGGATGGAGACTGCCTGTAGTTTCTTTATTTTTAAAAGTATGGGGATTAAAAAAAATTAAAAAACTCTGAAATGGCGTTCGATTCCATGAATACTGTCTCTCAGGCCAGGTGCGCAGCTAGAACACAAAGATGGAAAGAACATGGCCCCTCCTTCAAGGATGCCACAGGCCCAATGTGAGCAACAACGTAGTGTTGGGTTAATGTCCAAATGAGAAAGGTAAAACCAAAGAGAATAACAAACTTTTCCAATAACCCCAAAGAAGCCCTATAGATGAAAATTGAGTTTATGAATAAAAAATCTTAGTTATATATATGCCTCTATCTTCCTTTAAAATTGATAATCCGCAGTAATTAAGGTTTAAGAAATGAGATTGACATAGATTTAAGTGCTTAATGGTTAGTGGTAGCCTTTATTTCTGCCACATGGAAGACACCGCTTTGTTTTTTTCCTTGTGTTGGCTGTTATTTCTTGAGCTGTGCTTGTTTTTTAGTTTAGTAGTTTGTATTTATCTGGGAAATAAAAAAGATGGGGGAGTCAATTCAATTAATTCAAAAGTCTAAAATAGACAATTAAAGTTATTTCTGTTAAATAAAAAACTTATAAAAACTAAATATGCATAAAATAAGTGATTATAATAAGTAAAATTACACTTATAATCCAGCTTTTCTTCTTAATATAAGAATAAACATACTTTGGACAGATAAGTTTTTGTTTTTTATAGGTTGAAGTTAAAGGAACCTCTAAATTTCTTAAAATTTTTGTTTGAAGGTATTTCTACCCATGTAAGAATCTAATAAATCAAGATATCAAGATTAAAAGAGTATGGGCTTTTATTCTGTAAGAATTATAGATATATCATGAAATTATTTTGTATCTAAACTGAGTCCTAAAATAAGTCATAGGTATTACAAGCTCATTGAAATAAGGGGCCAAATAACTTTCACATTACTTCAGTTGTAATATGAAATCTTTTTTCACCACTTAAAAAATTGTCTATCTTTGCCCATACATAAGCAATTCACATTTTAAATATTTGAGAGCCACTTTTTAAAAATCAGAAGTCAAGATTTAAATGTGGTATGCATATCTTTTTTTGCCCTTTTTTGTATTTGTAGTTCTTAATAAGACCCCAATATTTGAAATTTCATTGCTATAAAATATATCAATCAAAGGATGAAATCACAGAATATTGGGTTATCTTTAAAGGATTTTCTCTCTCTAAATTGTACACTATATAGGGTGGAGCAAAAGTAGGTTTACAGTTGTGAGTACATGAAACAGAAAGTTTATTCTTATATTATTTTTATTAATTATTGTATTATTTTCCATACGAACAACTGTAAGCCTACTTTTGTCCCACCCTGTTTTGAGAGCTAGCAGGACTTGGGATTCTCTCTAAGTGGATGTAGGAATCAGCACATGTCATCCTGAGTGACACCCTTTCACTGTCCACCACTACCATCTATAATAATAAAAGGGTAATATGCTAATTAGACCAGACATCCTTCCGGACAACCTTTTGGATGACCTTCTGGATGAAGCCAGAGCTGCGAGGGAAGTCAGGGTCCCGGGTGCCAGAGGGAAGCCAGTGCCGGCAGCCAGGGGAAGGAAAGCCTATTCTTGCACAAATTCCATGCATTGAGCAGAAAAACCACAAAAGCATAGGCACAGACTAAGCAGTGTATGTGAAGGCCAGGGGATTATTGTGTGTGGGCATTTGTTATTTTTTGGCCACAATGTTTTCCTCTGGTGCATAACCTCTGGCCCATGGTGTGCATCTGGGCGGGGCTCTGTGAATAAACTGAGTACTCAGCGCTAACCTAGCTGGCTTTGGTGGCAGCATGACAGAATGGGTAAAAGAAGGGTGGGCACCTCCATTATCATCAGAGCCCTGATGACATGCCCATGAGGTTCCTGCAAGGCCACTCCTGGTTCTCCAACCTTCTCTTCAATTCTACAAACTCAACCCCTAAGTGTACACATGTATGCATGGGTACACACACACACACACACACAGTAGCTATGTTGTGGGAGGCTGCTGAAAGAAGTTTCATTCTTAAGTAACTCACTCACTGTCAAGCTAGCGTCCCAAAGAACTTTAGAATAGTAAGCCTGGGCCACCACCTGCAGCTATGCAGGTGATGCGCTGCACATAGGCTACAATGTGACTAAACCGTGCAGTGTACAATTTACACAACTGTATGTAACAGCCTAGTAGGTGCTCTATAAATATTGGTATAACTGTGGTATGAAAGAGAGAGGGTTTGGCTGTGTTGGCTAACCTAAGAAAGCAGGTTGGGAAAGAGTGTGATGAGGGAGGCAAAGAGGAAGAGGAAGAATGAGAATGAAAGGAATCCTGTAAAAGCAGCTTCAAGTAATTCCCTTCCAGTGCCTTATCCGAGGCTCCCTCTTTTCCTGTGGACTTAGAGCAGAAACCACAACCAACCCTCAACATTCCAGTCCCCCTCTATTGTCACTACAATAGAAGCAATAAGGTTCAATGTGAAAAGATTCGATTTTTTGACAACTTTTTATGAAAGTGTCATGTCTGTCCTTTATATCTATAGGGATTTATAATTGTAAAAAATTACCTGTAGGTTGTCTTACATGTCTTTCATCCATTGGTCTTTGCTTTTTCTGTTTTACTTTCCTCTCCTCACATCCGTTCCCCTGAGAAAAGGGGAGACAGATGAGGCACAAGTTTGAGGAAATTAGAAGAGGCTTTGACATGAGGGGAGAGAGACAAAGGGCAAAAAGGAAAATAGTGGGGACAGGGGAAGAGAGAGAGGAAGTGAAGAAGAAAGAAAAAGTCACAAGCAGGAGAGAAAAAAAGCACAGAAAGAGAGGGAACGTATTCTGAGTCTTAAATTCAAATGATGTGCCAGCCATCTCATCAAAAATGTCTTTATTCTTTCCATTGGAGCCCGTTGTTAAGTTTCACAAACAGGTTTCCTTTAGGGTCCTCCCACCCTTTCTCTTTTTAGCCTCGGTTTTATCAACACAAAATGACCCTGCCCATTTAGGATTCTGAGGAATTTGATTCGTAATTGGAAAAGAAAGGCTAGTGGGGATGGGGAGGACGCTCCCAGTATTTCATAAGAATTTTCTCCTCTCTTCTTTCCTTGAATCTCTATTCTTTGTCTCATTCCTTTACACATTTGGAAAATACCATAGGTTCACAGATAAACCGATTTTTTTCAGCAAAGTTAAGGAGAAGAAAGCCTAGGAAGATAAGACATTGAAAGTCAAGAAGGAAGAGAGATGGACCCAGATCCAGAGAAACAAGGTTAGCCTAGGCCCTAGGCCCTGCCTCGTAGCCTTTTTGTAAAAATGCATTTGAAGTGCCTCTTTACCCAAAATCTTACTGAGAAAGGAGAAAAAGTGTGATTCCTTCAAACTGCTGAGAGATTTGAGAGAGATGAATTAGAAACCATGCCTGCAGCTGGCCATTGCCCCGCAGTGGGGTGAGTGAGAATCTGAGAGGTTAATAGGACCAGGGGTTCGTTTTACTGCAGTGGGAGCACTCATTATTCGGGCTTCTACGTAGAGTAGAAATAGGGTAGAAATCAGATTTACAGACTCAATTTTAGTCTACACTCAGTCTAAATTCAATGAGGGGTTATGATTCCACTAATCTTTGCTTTTCTTGGGGGAAAGAGTGCTCAGCGTGCCTAAGAGGGGATGAAAGGGGAAAAAGAAGTGATTCAGAGCAGTGTGAAAAAGGGGAAAGAAATGCTAATCAGAGGGAAAATTGAAAAACTATACAATCCTAAGTAATGAAAAATGGGAAGATCGAGGAAAGAAAAACAGAAAGAATGAGAAAGTACATGAAAGAAAACAAACAGGGAAAAAAATTAATACTTTTGAGAAACCTGCATGCGGGACTTGCATCCTATACTGTCCTTGGGACTTAACATGCTCAGAGTGGAATTTTGCTGCCCGGGGGCTGTCCTTTGCTTTGCTCCTCATTCCCAGAGCCCTGTTCTAAGCTGCCTCTATATTTACAAAGATGGGCCACCAGGACCACAAACATATCAGCTTATAAAGTCCTAACAGTGGAAAGGGCCCCGAGACAGCTAACCATGCCCCTCCTTCCCCCACCCATATGCACACACATTTGACAGTTGAGAAAGCTGAGGCCCAGAGGGGTTGAATATGAAACAGAGGAAGTGCAGTTAGAGGTCAAAGCTAGGGCTTTTGATTCTAAGTTCAGGGTTTGATAGTTGACTTCTTCACTTTCCCAAACTCTTCCAATTCCTTTCCCAGCTTGTATCATGGACTCACTCCTTTCTAGTCGTGTTGCCTCCCAAGCTGCTGTCTTCAGTTTTTTGTGGTTTTTTTTTCCTCTTGCCCCCACGGGTAGTCAGTCCATAAGTCTTGCTGACTACATATTCATGTCCTTTTTATCTCACTGCTTCTTACCTGGTTCAAACCTTGGCACCCTTCACCTGGACTATTAGGATTTCCTATCTCTACTCTGCTCCAGCTTCTCTTAGAAATTGCAATTGTCCTAAAACATAACACTAATTTTGTCCTTTCTGCTTTTCCATGGCTCCTCCTTTCTGACTAAACAGTGATGTCCACACTCCCTAGCATGGTGCAGGACCTCCACAGGCTGGCTCCTGGCTTACATTCTGGCTGCACCTCTCTTTGTTCCTGTATTGACCATGCCCAGCACTACCCCACCCCTTTGATTTTGTTCACACCATTCCCTATATCCAGGATATTCTTGCTTCCCCCTTTCTAACTCAAAGACTGCCTCCTTCATAGAGTCTTTCATGATTTTCTCTCTCTCCTTCTTGAGCTAAAAGTAGGTCTTTCACTTTTCTCTGAAAGCTATACTATCACAAATTTATGTTATTTGTGCATCAATATGTGTACGTATTGTTATTTATTTCATTTTGATCTCTCCCAGAGCCTGCCAGTACTTCATATATAATAGATAGGCACTGGATGCTTGTTCAGTTGAACAAAATTGAGTTTGTGCCAAAAGACAGGAGAAGGAATCAGTCACATGTAGGGTGAAGATAAAAATATTGATTTCCTACATTAATTTAAACTGTCCTTGGCTTAAATAAGGAGCACTTCAGAGTACATGGAGAATGTACTAATTATGTGCTAATGTACTATGCGTTAGTGATAAGGCTGCTGTTAGATTGATCCTTGCCTAGAGAATGAGAGGAAATATTTGCTGATTGGACATCTCTGGAATTTCTACAAATTCACTTTGATTTCTTTTTGAAATACAGTCTGGGGTAGAAATTGATAGATGAAAGTTCTATATACTGCAAAGGAGATTTTGCATTTTTATTATAAACTACAATAACATTTCCCTACGATAGTCTCTGGTTCAATACAGTGGATTGTAACATAGGTGAAGCCACATGAGGTGAAGTTGATCTAGTACTTGGACACTAATGCCCAGTGGGAAGGCCCAGAGACAAATTCCTCTTGTATAAACACCTATCCTCTAATTATTTGCTTTTTTGAGGAGGATTCTTGCAAATGTGACTACAAATATCTTTTAAGTGTTGGTTTTTAAAGCAGAAGTATTCCTCCCCCCTCCCCTCCACTTAAGTCCAGCGAAATGTGCCTCTATGTTCCTTCCATGACATTCTTTTATGCGCATGACTGGAGCTGAGGTTGCTCCACCCCCACGGTAACTTAGAAGTGGGTCAGCAGCAAGCCAGGGAAGAGCTCTCCACTGGTGCCTATAGGACGACCTCCACGTCAAAAGTTTGGGTTACAATTTTTAAATCCTGAGACATGAGAATTTGTGAAGAAAAAACTGCCAAACAAAACACTAAATGGAATCACCTGACAGCAAAGCAGAGGCCCAAGCTGAAAGCAGGAAGAAAAGGGGGCGATGACTTCAGATTTACCAAGTCATGTACTTGTGGACACTCCCCTTTCAAATCAGCAAGGACGAGAGGCCCTATTGTTTGGGTTCTGCCTGCAGAGCTAGCCTGGGGTGGTTCCTGCCCAGGGAGTTAGATACGGGGAACTGGGAAACCGAACCCTACCAGCACAGAAGAATGTGAAGCGAGGCCCCCTACGTGAAAAGCTCTGGGGAAGAGTTTCTGAGCGCAGGACTCAGAAGGGAGCAGAGGCAGGAGAGGGAATGCATCAACACATCTCGCTTGATTCCTTCGCTCTTAACTACTCTGCTCCAGGACCCAGAGGTGACTACCAGATACCAGGGATCACAAAGAAATGTAGTGGAATCTGTTCCTTACCTGAAGTGTTTGAATCAGTCCTCATGCTCCTGTAAAAATAAACAACACATTTCAAAACATTTGCTAGTGTAACCACAAATATCTAGAAAAGCATTACTGGGTGTGAGGTAGCTGCCCATTCTCGAAATGCTTTGTAGGTAGTAACGAAACGTGTTTGGTACATCTATGGCATTGTTGATTATAAAGCATATTAAAGTAAAATTACCTAAATTTCTCTAACATATGAGCTATCCCACCTGCAAAAGCCATATTAATAACATCTATTCTATTTTTATTACCGTCACTCAGTGAGGCTGGGGCGTCCTTTCCCTGCTTCCTCTCCAGCCCCTGAAAACTTACTTGGGGTTTAGACCGAGAGAAGCTCAGGGCTCACCCAAAAAGAGCCGGGTGTGTTGGGAATTGTAGACTTTCATAGAGACCTAGGGATAGTTTCTAGAAAGGATGGGTGCCTGGGGTTAGAAGTTGTCCAACTCTGCTAGCTTCTTCGTCACAGTCTCGATGGCCCAGATGGGGGCCACAGAGCCTGGGAAACTTGCCAGCCCCCAAGATATGCCTTTTTGATATGTTGATTATTTTAAGCTGGTTATTTTTAAGAAACAAAAGATTCAGAAAGAACCTTTGAACCACCCCGCCCCACCCCACCCGCCTTACCTGCCTAAAGGAATTCAGACAGAAAAACCTACTCAAAGGAAAATCTGCTCACCTTAGTGGCATGTGATCTAAGCGTGGTAGGAAGGAAGAAGCCAAGCAGAGTCAGGTTTTAGACGCCCCTCTGAGTCCCATTGTGGGTGTCCTGGCAAGATTTGTTTACCAAATGTGTGCTCTTTCTCATCCGTCTCTGGATTGCCCACTTTCCTTCTGATGTCCCAGACGCCTGCCCCCCTTCTTTTGGTCTAGAATGGCATGTGAACCTGAACTGCCCAGTCTGTCCTAGAGTCCTCTATTCTTAGGGAGCCCCCACATGTACATATGTAATAAATTTGATTATTTTCTCTTGTTAATCTGTTTCATGTTAATTTGATTATTAGACCAGCCAGATGAACTTGAAGGGTAGAGGAAAATTCTTTTTCCTCCCCAACACAGGTGAATAACATACACAAGTTATTATTTTTCTTATGGTGTAGTGGATAAAATAGGAGAGAAGCTGTCAGTTTTTCAGACTATTTCACTTTCAGAAATGTCTTTGGATTAAGAAGTTTGTTTTCTGCACTCCTAATTTTAAAAATTAATAACAATAATGAAAATACTTATTTTCTTAACCTCATTGGCATGCTAAAACATAAACCTATGTCACTTAATTTTCACTAAATCTGTTTCTTCATCACATTTTCACTAATATTTTGGAACTTTTGCTGTTTGAGCAAAAGAAAGTATTTCAGAAAAATAATTGCCCTTAGATAACATATTCACAGATAAGTACAAAGACATAATTATGATCCATTTCAAGGGTTCTGGCAAATGCATCCAGTTTAAATTCTAATGGATCTTTCCAAAGTAAAGGTTAAGTTAGTAATTTTCTGAGGAGTTTGCAAATAAATGTTCACAGAGCCTGAACTAAATAGGTCTGGTGATTTAAATGAAGGTTAAGTTTAATGACAAAAGTTTTCAAGAGACTGAGAAATATCAGGTAAATGTACTTTGAATAGGTGTAAATTAAAATAAAGCCTGCCATTATCCTCCATACAGCAAAGGGAAGAGTCACAGTATCGCTATTATCAAGGTATGAAAAGGAATATAAATGCTTTATAAAGTAAATCCTTCACTTCGGAAGGACCTAAAGTGACATTATAGACGGCTCCATACTCTTTCACTCATCTAGATTGAAATTGCTGAATTTACATTTTAAAGAGTAATGAATTTGAGGACAAAATATCTAACAAGGTCATTGTTTAATTTTTTTTTTTCATGTTCCAAAGTGCATGGTTATAAAGTGTCACTGAAATCCATGGTCTGGAAGATGAAAAATATGTAGCTCTTATTTATCACTCTCACAATGTCCTGACGCAATCCCACAAATCCTGCAATATCCTACAGATGTCCCAGGAACAAAGCACCAGCCAATTCCATTCTATTCTTAGATATTACACCTATCATTCATAATGAACATTTTCAAATTAGGCTCCAGCAAGTAATTATGTTCCTGATGCAAACTGGCAATAAAAAAGAACCCAGGCTTGATTAAATTGGGATTAAGAGGATTACTTAGAACCAAAATTTGTTTTTGCTTTGTGTTTTCAAATTTATGTATTTACTTTTCTCCCTTTTAGAGTCATCAGATAAAATGACTCAGGAAGCTGAGAGACTGGAGGGCAGGCCTTGAAGAATTTCAGATGTGCTAACCTTCAAGAGTCCTTTTATCGCTAAAATTCCATAAATTTTTACTATTTATATAGGGATTTTGTTTCCTATTTCTAATAGGGATCATAAGAGTGAGACTAACAACAATTTGCAGAGCATTTTTCATCATATTTTTTAGCTCACAATTTTAATACTTTAAAAAGCCAATAAGAGCCAATCTAATGCTCAAAGGATTTTTTGGGCAGTGAGACTATTCTGTATGTCATGGTGGGTACATGTCACTATGCATGTGTCAAAACCCATTGAACTCTACAATACAAAGAGTGAACCCTAAGCTAGGGACTATAGTTAATGATAACATATCAATATTATTTTTTAATTCCAACAAATGTACCACACTATGCAAAGTGTCAATAGGGAAGTCTGGGGTGGGGGAAGGGTGACAGAATGGCATGGGGTGGGTGTATGGAGCTCTCTATCTATTTTTCTGTAAATCTAAAACTGTACTTAAAAATAAATTTTAGCCCTGACTGGTTTGGCTCAGTGGATAGAGCGTCGGCCTGCGGACTTAAGGGTCCCAGGTTCGATTCCAGTCAAGGGCATGTACCTTGGTTGCAGGCACATCCCCGGTAGGGGGTGTGCAGGAGGCAGCTGATGGATGCTTCTCTCTCATCGATGTTTCTAACTCTCTCCCTCTCCCTTCCTCTCTGTAAAAAAATATATTTAAAAAAATAAAGTTATTAATTATTCATTTTATTAAAAGGCACTAAAAGCTCATCTAAGGGCAAGGAAAGAAGTTGAAATGATTTAAATAGTTAACTTACATATTTTTTTCTCTTTTGAATACAAATTTCAGAGCTCCTGGTCATTTAGAAACAATTCCTGAAGAAGTCTCCCTAGAGTTCAAGCCAATAGTTTGTCCTGTGGCTCTAAAGGGGATCCTTGTTTTGGATATCGGGACTGAGAACAAGCCCTCAGGAGAAAGGAGCCCTTGCTAAACTGTACTTTGTATGTATAAAGCAATGGTTCTCAAATGTGAGCATGCACTGCAACCACTCGGAGGTCTAGTGCAGCACAGAATGCTGCGCCCACGCCAGAGTCTATGCTTCAGTAGGATGGGGCGGGGGCCTGAGAATTTACATCTCTCACAAGTTCCCAGGAGATAGTGTTGACACACACTGAGAACCACTGGTGTAGGAACCCTGGATATTAAGCGGTGCTTTGCTTGAGCAGACAGCCCAAAGTACAGAAATCATCACCCCCTGACGCCTGAATACCTTGGCACTTGGACCTAGAGGTTCTAGAATTGCTAGAAATGCACAGTCCAGGGGCTAAATGCACATGACTCTGATTCCCATAATCCTTTGATTCCCTTGACCTGTACTTAGCTAAGAAAGGTGAAAGAAAAAGCCAGATTTGAGTACAAAGTACTTAATTCTCAGTTAGTTAAGATATTGTTGAGTAAGATTTTTTTTTTGACAGAATACCCAACTTTCTTTTACGTAAACTATTGGAAATGAATGATCAGTGACAACAGCGATCATTTACTGAGCACCTACAGCGTCCCAAGCTCTTTACGTACTTTTAGTGCTCTGCTTCTAGAGCCCTACAACCCACTGGATGTGTTTACTGTTTCTGTTACAGCACTGTCCTTTAAGGACTCCCCAGAGCAGAGCTACATTTGCCTTCACCATGCGGTCTCTTGTTTATTTAGCAGTAGATTAAAATTACATAAGAATTATGAGTAGGTCTTGATCCCTGGCAGGAGAATAATGTCTAAAGTCTAGCCAGGACAAAGGTCTTAGTGTTTATTTTTGAAAAATTTCCAAGGACAAAGACACCACAACCTCCAAAACCAGTTCTGTTGTTTATTAATATCTAATCAGTGATACGTACTAATGTATTGTTCTTTATTGATTGGTTGGCTGTCTGCTATATTACTTTGCTGTATAATAAATTTTTCCTTAGTGATTAGTTAAAATGATTTTCATTTTAAATTTACTTTTTAAATTTAGCCTTCTGTGGACTTCTCATACATTGAAGATGGTAATTGTCACCTATTGGCATTTTCCTCCTCTGTTTAAATAACCTTTTTTTTTTACTGCATAAATTTTGTGTTTTTCTCCAGTTCTTCTCTAGGTTCAGTGTATTAGCTAGTGTAGTGGGAACATTACTTTGAAGGTACTCTGTGGTATAAAATCATCTTTGCATTATATTCAATGCAAGTCAAATCTGTATTAGATTTGTTTAGTCTAATGTACAATCTGAACCCTTTCTCCCTCCCCTCCCTTACTATGTTACTTCCTCCTCCCATTCCCTTCCCCATTTTAATTTGTCTATTTTTTTTGAAGCAATTACCATTGCTCACAGTGACTGGCATTGTGGACTTTTTAATATCAGTTTTTTAAATCCCTACAGCAACTCAGCATGGTCAGCGTAATTCTCATTTTACAAGTAAAGAAACTGTGACCGGAAACATCACAAGCAGGTAAGACTAGAAGAGCCAGGATTAGAACCAGGTTGTCTGACTGCAAAATTCAGTCTCTAACTGCTATGTCTTCCAATTAACGCATCCTAGCATCAGTTTGATTTTTACATTATATATGTAATCCATTGTCTAATAAAAGTATAATAGAAACATGTGTTAATAGCTACAACAAATATCAATTTATTTAATCACCAACTACGCCTAAACTCTTTGGTTTCTTACCATCCTTATTGTAAAAATAAA